CTTATCAAATCAAATCACTTAGCATATTCATTTCTCTTTATAAAAGATCACACTTGCAATGGCAGGATTTTAAAAGCGAGTGTGGACGGATTCCTCATACAGGGATTAGAACTCATACTTGAATTTGGACATGAAAAATAATTAATATTTATCAATGAAATTTCCTCGATATTTACATATATACTAATATATTTATAATACTCTATAATAGCGTATATAATAATAATTAATTTGATTTATCATAAAGGATTTCAAAGTTGACCTTGAACGAAAATGGGTGTCTATAGGCCTAAAATCTACTCAGCCCAATTCTTGACCAATCCAACCAGAACTGCTCAATCGAATCAGAACGAATCAATAAAAATCAAAACAAACCGGCCCATTCGAGCCAAGTCGAGTTGTTGATCGTTGTCCATCGTTGACTTTGACTGTTGACTACCGTTGACTTTTTTGAAAAACCTCCCTCTTAACGTTTTTCGACTTCCTAAGTCCCATTTTACGATCCGTTTTGTCAAATTCTGACCCAAAAGCCCCAAAATAAGATCATTTACCCGCAGATGCTTAGTATTTTATCATTATTGTATAATTATTTGGGCATTGAATATAGAATTGATTTGGGAATATATTTTTATGAAGGTACTCGCGTTTCTCCCAATCGAGGGTCGAATAGAACCGGTTCTTTCCGTCTAGTAGATATGTATGATTCACGTTATTCGAGAGCTACTCAAAGGTTTCTGTAAAATTTTTAAATATATTTTATTATTTATTATATTAGGATATTGATTCAATCATTTCGATTCATAATATCTAGCACTGCCACTGATAATGCTAGGCAGACCTAGCTTTAGGCTACCATATCCAACTTCTCAGACCGATACAAGTGTGATCCTATAGGTGTTACAGTACTATTTTAAATTTCCTATATGAACTGTTCTGGAATTCTTATGAATATTAAATATTTTGATTTCATGATATATGTTTTACCATATGCATCGAGTTCTGATATTTTATTTATCATATATTTCTGATATAATCTCTAGTTATTTTATTTATGTATCTAATTCTGAAATATGAAATGTTTTCATGTTTTAATGAATCAAACTATGGTTTTTTCACTAAAGTACATGTATATTTACTATCATTGGGGGTATGATTGGAGGAAGTATCTCAGACTTAGTCTATGACTTATAAGACCTTATCACAGACCCCTCTGCTTTGTGCACATGGTAAGTCCTTACCACATTTCCTTATGCTATTAGTATAAGGTCCTTGCCATGCGTATAGGTGGGTGTGTGGTTCAAGGGATCCTACACATTCTAGTGTTTGGATGAGAGTAATGTTCATGTTTTAAAAGCATGTTTATAAAATAATTTTTTACTAAAATATTTATATGAATGTTTTTATACACCTCAAAGAGCACTGGACTTTTTAGCTTACTCTTTAAATTTTTAATTTTTCAGATATTACCTTATAGTAGGTTAGCAGACTTGAAATCAGGAGAATCGACCGTTCTCCCTTTGGTATCACTGTATATTTTTATGCTAATTTCTATTATATTTTGGTGACATGAGTTTTTACTATTCTCCTTACGTATATGTATTGCCAATATTTTGTTTATGGACATGTTTTATACATACTTCTAATGTTAGTATATGTATATGTTTATCATATGAACTTTACCGTTGTATATTTCTGTATTTTTACCGTTATATGTATTTTATTCATTGAAATAGATATCATTTACGTTTTGAATATTGAAAAGATTTTTGCATACAACATTAGACTTCCTAGATTCGATCGTAACAACCAGGTAAGATCTAGGAGGTTACATTTAATATAAAATATAAATTATTTACTTTTTAATTATTAATATAGATGAAACTAATGTGATTTTAAATTTTTAATTAATCACTTTGATTTTATTATGTTGCTTTAATCAATTATTAAATGACATAATGATAAAATTAGTGTAAAATATTTACACAAATGAATATTTAACTAACATTTTTCATCTAACATGATATTTAAGTTAAAATATTAAAAAATAATTATTATTTGTTAAAATATCGAGATTAATTTTATTATTATGTAAATTGATTCTAGGAGCCACTGCAAGTTAAGTAACTGTCATTGTAACTAGAGTTGGGTATATGGGCTAAGGCCCGCGAGCTACCCGTTTAACTTGCTGCCCGTGCGGGCTTCGTGCCTCAAAAACTGAAGCTCGTTTAAATTGCGGGCTTTTTAGCCCGGACCGTTAAACTCGTGGGTTTAATGGGTATAACAGCGGGTAGCCCGCGAAGCCCGCTTAATTTAAAATTTATAAAATTTTAGAGAAAATAAACTTAAAGAATTTTATAGAAAAAGAAAATAAATTACCTATAAATATGATGTTACTTATAACCATTGTAGTTCTTAAATTTATTAGGGTGTTTCTCATAATTCTACCGCAGCTTGATATTTTTTTTTATTTTACAATGTATCAAATTATTCTTCATTTTAAAAAATAAAAATTAAAAGATTTATATAGTATTTTAGTCTTATAAAATTTACATCATTATCACTTTGGTATTTAAAGGTTTTTTTATTTAATTTTGACCTTTATTTTTTTTCATGAACTATGTTATTCATTTCGTTCTTTAAATATAAAAAGTCACATAATATTCTAATAATATATCACATGACACGTAATATTTGGATTAAAAATAAGAAAGAAAAGTAAAAGAAAAAATTGAAAACAAATTTTTCAACTTTTAAAGACTTTTAAAGGCTTTTACAAAATAAATATATTTTAACAAATTAATGACTTATATTTTATCAATTTTAATATAATTGTATCTTTCAAATTTACTCTTATACTGTAAGTATTTTGTTTTATATTTTCATATTATGTTTTAGTTTTTCTTTAAAGTATCAATAAAATACAATTATTAGGACCACTTGACAACTTTCTTGTTAGATTTGTATAATGTTTGACTTTGTTGAATTTTTATGTTTTAATTTCTGTTTGCAGACACTTCTGTGCCTTCATATTATAGCATTTAATAATCGTGTTTCATAAAAGTATAACGTGGTTAATATTTTATTTGTCTTTCAATTTGGTGATATAAGTGAATATTATTTTTTTTAAATTTGAGTTTAAGTAATTATATCGTTATATATATATTAATGATTAAAAAATTAAAAAATATTATTTTATAATCATTTTCGGCTATTTAAAATAAAATTTAAATATTATTTATTATTTTGATGGTGTTACCTTCCTTTTCAAGTTGTTAGATCATTTTTAAAAGTGTAACAAGTTAGAACATTATTTTTTATTGCATTTAAAGCATTTAAAATTGTTGTTATTTAACGGGCCGTGGGTAAGCCCGTTTAGCCCGCGAGTTAAATGGACGGGCCACGGGCCTTAAAATTTAAAACCGTTTATGAATGCAGGTTTTTTAAACTGCTCTGTTTAAGCCCACACCGTTAAAACCCGCGGGCTAAACGGGCGGGTAGCCTATATACCCAGCTTTAATTGTAACTCTGCAATTATTCACGTGACAATTATGCGAGTATGCTTGTCGTTTCTTTCTTTTTGTTTCTTCAATGATTTTTGAGATTTAGCTACGATTAATTTGGATTGATATGTATCACACACTTAAATTTGATGGAAAAATTTTTTAATAAATTTTTTTTTAACTTATGCAAAGATTTGAACTTGAAACGTATTTAAGTGGTATCAAATTGTTTATTACTTGAGTTAGTTCATTAATCTAACTATTATTTTTTAAAACTCGACCTAAATTTAAAAAAAAATTAAATTACTCGAATTCTATTTTATAATTTGATTTAAATTTATAAGTAATAAAATTAGCTTTTTTAAATCGAGTCAAATTTTACCACAAGTAATTGGGCGTTATTACTTTAAAAACCCCTAAAAATTAATTTTCTAAAACAATACCCCAAACTAGATTTGTTAGAAAAATACTCCCAAGTTGCACACGTAAAATTACCTCGCGTCCTAAGAGAAGCGAGTAAAGGTCTAGTGTTATAAAAGGTGCGAGGTTCATCCAACGTTGATACACTTTTTAGAGAATGCATTTTAATATTTAATGACCTTGCATTACGTAGAACACGAGGTTCCTGACATATTGAAACATCTTCAGAAATTTATCGCGAGTGGTATTTCACATACCCCGCGTTATACAAAACATGAGGTATGTAGTTTTCCAACCCAAATAGCAATTGCTTATAAGCATGTTTGAGGGGTATTTTGGATATTTAATCTCAAAAAAAATTTAATTTATAAGATTAGAGACATGGTATTGTAATTTATATTTCAGTTGAGGTCAATATTGAGACATACGAGATATTGTAAGTGGGTTAAAAATCGCATTAAAAATGGTTTCGAAACTTGTTTTATATGTGAAGAAAATGCTAAAATGGTTTTATAGGCATATTCGAGGGGGGTTTTCGGGTATTTAATATGAAAAAAATTCGCAATTTATAAGATTAGTGACATAGTATTGTAACTTATCTTTCTATTGAGAGTAATATCGGCACATATGAGACGTTGTAAACGGGGGGAAATCGTGTTCAAAATGGTTCCAAAGCTTAGTTTTCTACATGAAGAAGAAGCTAGCATGGCTTGATATGTATGTTTAGAGAGTATTTTCGGGAAGTTAGTCTGAAACTTTTCGTCGTTTATAAGATTAGAGGCGTAGTATTGATACTTATGTTTCAATTGAGGCTAGTATCGGCACATACGAGACGTTCTAAGTGGTGTATAAATCAAATTCAAAATGGTTCAAAAAATGAAAATTAACGAATATATTTTGTAAATTACAAAAGTAGTACATAAATTCGGCTCTCTAGTTCTTTCTCTATGCTTGACTAAATCCTAGTCACAGAATTAAAATAACAAAAAATAACATAACAATAAATATAATACAAAAATTAAAATAATATAAATTTTAATTTTAGAAAATACAATTACATAACATAAATTGCAAACGAAGTAATGTTTTCCGTTGTGTTTGATCCTAATTTTGATGGAACGAGAAGTTTCTCGAATTTCATGTATAAAGGAAACCATGGGTTCTTGGATGGAGGATGTCACTAAAAGAGGATGCCTTTTTAGAAACAAAAGTTTCTCAAGAATGTCAGGTTACGCGTGTTGAAGAAGGTTCATGAGACCGACGGGTTTAATGGAGACTAAATAGGGGGTAAAATAGAATTTATAAATCATGCCCACAACTGCAACAACAGCCTTGTCCCTCCAATAACTTGTTTGTTCAAATATAGGGTAGGTTTGATGGAAGAAGAGGACGCCACCAAAAAAGGATGCCTTTTGAGAAACGATAAGTTTCTCGAGAATGCTAGGTTACTCCTGTTGAAAAAGGTTGAAGAGACCAGAGGGTTTGATGGAGATAAAATCAGACACCCTCCAATTACTTTTTTATTTAGATTTACGACTAGTTGAGGATGCCACCAGTAGATGATGCCTTTTAAGGGTGTTATTAAATGAAAACTCATAATGTCCATGTGAAAGACAATTTTGATAAACAAGAAGTTTCTCGATAAGGTTATGCTTGATGGAAGAAATGTGAAAGATTTACCCATGAATTTCAAAAGGCAACGTCTTTATAAAAGACATTGTATTCGGGTGACATAACTTATAGCATTTGATACTGGCATAAGGATATCTAAGTTTTATGTCAAATCGTGCCACTATAAGAGAATCCCTTTATAAGTGGAGACCCTGTTTATAATTTAGAATGTCATAAGAAGATGTGTTACATAGAGAAGAACCCACGCTCTATAAAACATGTTTTTTATGATTCTTGACTTGAAGTGACACCTCATATTTTGTACAACGTGAGATCCGTAGGGATTCTTGTTAAAATTGATATACAACTCTTGGAGTTATCAAGAATATGCAGAAGCATATCTATTATCCAATGTTAAGCAGTACATTTATACATGAGTTCATAGACTTAACAGCCTTCTAACTGCTCCTAACCACTCCAACAGACTCAACAAACTGCTAACAACCTACTCATTAATTGTGCACACACACTCCAAACTACACTGAACACACGCAAACTAACAGCAACATATGCGAACTCACGAAAGCATGAGTTCATGCTTCAACATTCTCCCCGTCCTTCTCGGTTGTTCTCGTTTCAGCTACCTGAACTTTTTGACTAAACAGAACATGTGCAGACTTAGCCAAAGGTTTGGTCATTCCATCAGCCACTTGATGCTCTGCTGGTACGTAACTAACACGAACAGCTCCACATTCTACCTTTTCGCGCACAAAGTGTATGTCAAATTCTATATGCTTCGACCGTGCATGAAACACCGGATTAGCACTTATGGCAACCGCACTCGTATTGTCACTCCATACGACCGGTATCGCATCAACTTCTTCCCCCAAGTCAGTCAACAATGACTTCACCCAAATCACCTCAGCAACTGTATCAGCAATACTACGGTATTCAGCTTCTGTTGTTGAACGAGTAACAACCTTTTGTCTCTTTGCACTCCACGAGATCAAATTGCAACCAAGGAACACACATGATCCTGACACCGATCTATGATCATCAACATTACTGGCCCAGTTAGCATCTGCAAATGCAGTCATACTGCAAACTTCAGCTGCAGAAGAACGTTTAAACACTAAGCCACATTCAATCGTTCCACTCAAGTAACGCAATATCCGCTTAACCGCAAGCCAATGACCATCACAAGGTCGATGCATGTACTGAGCTACCCGATTAACACTAAAGGTGATATCTGGTCTTGTATGACTCAAGTACAACAAGGAACATACTATGCTTCAATACGTCCATGCATCCGAAAGCGGCTTCCCGGCATCACTAGTCAACTTCGGTGAAACCACCATCGGTGTAGGTACAGGTTTAACAGTAAGCATAGCAGTCTGTTCCAGCAACTCTTTAATAAACTTGCGTTGGCTCAACACCAACTTCTCAGAGGTCCTATGCACTTCAACACCCAGAAAGTATCTGAGCTCTCCCAGATATTTCAACGAGAACTTCGCACCAAGTAGATTAACCACCTCATTAATAGCATCATTAGACTCACCTGTGATGATAATGTCATCGACATATACCAGCACTATTATAAGAACATCACCCACTCGGCGGATAAACAAAGACGCATCAGCCTTCGTACCACAGAACCCAAGATCCAGCAGGTAATTGCGCAGCTTGGCATACCACATGCGTGGTGCTTATTGCAATCCATACAAAGCCTTCCTCAGCCTACAGACAAGCCGAGTTCCATCACTAGCCACTCGTTCAAAACCCGGTGGTTGGACCATGTACACCTCTTCTCCAAGCTCACCGTTAAGGAATGCGTTGTTAACATCCACATGCCTTAAACTCCAACTTCGAGTCACAGCAAGAGACAACACAGCATTTACAGTAGTAGTCTTCACCACCGGACTAAACGTGTCACCGAAGTCATGGCCAAGTACTTGTGAGTAACCCTTCACCATAAGACGTGCTTTATGCTTCAACACAGATCCATCTGCATTAAACTTAACCTTGAATAGCCATTTGCAGCCAACTGCTGCTCGCCCTTTTGGTAATGGTTCTAACGTCCAAGTGCCATTCCTCACCAACGCATCATATTCAGCCAATACTGCTTCCTTCCATTGTGGATCTTGAAGCGCTTGCTTTATCGAGCTTGGCTCTCCAACATTGCCCTGAGTTTACGCAACAAAAACTCTTGGTTTAAAAATCCCTCGCTTACTGCGTGTAACCATTGGATGCTCATTGTACACCAAAGGACAGACCGAGGTAGCGTCAACACGGTCTGTCTCAGCAACAGTCTCAACACTACCTGTCTCATCAACCAATACACCACCAACCTCATTGATCTGACTTTGCTCCAACCCCACCGAGCTATTGTCTTAACTTCCACCAACACTTCCATTCTCAGTATGTCGACTCACCCTACTGCTCGATGCTCCAACTTCAACAACTGTTGGCACACCGTTAGTACACACTGGGGTATATCGACTCTCTTGAACAACTGGCTGTGTGGAATTACCACAAACACGTTGAGCACCAGGAATTACAACCAACGAAGCTCTACTACACGGTTTTCTCACAGCAGTCTCATTCTTCTCACCTCCAGACTTAGTGAATGGAAACTCATGCTTATAAAAAACGACATGCCGAGACACATACACCCGTCCATCCGATGCTAAGCATTGATATCCTCGATGATTGATGATGTACCCCAAAAACACGCACGATTGTGACCTGTATGCAAGCTTGTACGGTTGAAACACCCGTAAATGAGGGAAACATCTACAGCCGGACACCCTCAAATGATCATACGTAGGGGGCTTCCCAAACAGTCTCTCAAACGGAGTACGACCTTGAAGTACCTTAGTTGGCAACCTATTAATTAAGTGAGCTGCTGTTACGACTGTAAAAGACCAGTATTTCAACGGTAATGAAGCTCGAGCTAATAAGGTCAAATCCATCTCAAACAAATGCCTATTCTTTCTCTCAACATCCCCATTCTGTTGAGACGTATGAGGACATGTCACTCGGTGTTGAATACCACACTGTGCAAGAACAACAGATAGCGACCGGTACTCACCTCCCCAATCCGTTTGCACAGCCTTAACCTCCTGTCCAAACTGAGTTCGAACCAACTTCTGAAACAGCTGAAATGCACTAACAGCCTGCCCTTTGCTCTTCAGCAAATACACCCAAGTATGCCTCGAAAAGGCATCTACAAACGAGACGTAGTATCTAAAGCCATTCGACTCAATGTGACATGGACCCAATAAATCAAAAAATACTAGTTGAAATGGTTGTTCATATTGAGTTTCAGAAGCATAAAACGGTAGCCTATGGCTTTTGCCCATATGACACGAAACACATACTGGAAGAACCTCTTTATTAAAACCACTAGGCAAACTGATATTACATTGTTTGCACACTTGCAACAAGACTTTATAAGACGGATGACCTAAACGATCATGCCACAGTACATAGCTGTTATTAGAATTAAAAGTTATATTTGCTTCAGTAATTCGGCCTTGAGTAGACATAACACCATCGAACTCATACAAGCCACCAGTCTCTCTTCCTCGCAGTAATTCAGCACCGGTCCTTTCATCCCGAACCACACAATGTTGAGCATGAAACTCTAAGAACACTCTATTATCCCTAGCAAGCTTGGAAACCGATACCAATTTCTTAGTAATTGAAGGCACATGCAACACATCGCTCAATATTAAAGCACGAGATGCAGTACTAACATTAGCTTTACCAATTCTAGTTATAGATAAACCACTACCATTGCCTACAGTCAGCTTACCAGCTCCAGTATAATCCGAGCCATCTATCACTTCTGTAGCATCAGGCGTGATATGGTGAGTTGCCCCCGAATCTACAAACCACGAGCGTAGAGAAGAATTCGTGGCAGCCATGTTTGCAAGAGGCTTGAACCGTTCTTGATCATCCAACCCGGTTGTACCTCCATTTGTATTATTTACACATGAACACTTTTTAGAATTATATTGACAAACATTAGCCGTGGGCACTCGTTCCTTAAATGAGTTCCTTGAATCAGAATTCCTCAAATCAGACTCATCTACACCCAAGAAAGACTTATCGAACCTGCACCAACACCTATTCACGAGGTGACCATTCTTGCCACACAGCTGGCACTGTAGCTTGACACGTCCTCGACCACGACCAGCTTGACCACTATAGGTGGACTGTCTCTCTGATGTAATCTGATCTTGTCTAGTAAACCGATTGGTTCTATCATCCACAGATGCTTTTACTTGAGCAACATTAGCCGCAGCTGTTATGTTGTCAAACTTACTGAAGTTCTTCTGCTGAGTCTCAGCATAGATTAGAACAGATACAACTCCTTCCAGAGTCAAGGCGTCACGGCTGGCTGACAAGACAGTAACCACCGGCCTATATTCAGCCGATAATCCATTCAATATAGTCGCAATGTGCTCTAGATCAGACACT